TATATTGCCGAATGGAAATATTAAAAAAGGGGAAATTCAACGTTGCCAAACTTATTGGTTTTATTTGACCTGTTGTCTTTTTTTGCATTTGAACAATGTTCTATCAAGAAGATAAAATGCTCAAGATAATCAAATTTGGGCGAAATTGATTTAAATGGCAGGTTACTGTTTTTTTTATTGGGAATATGCCACAAGTTTTCTTTACAATAATTGTAATATAACATTTTGATTTCCATTTCGGAAATCGTTTTATATAAATAAAATTTATTAATGTTTCGTATTTTAAGTACGATTTCCGAACTAAAAATCTAAACATCAAAATAATTTCCCAATATGAAATAATAAACAATTAAACATGCATACAATAACGCCAAATTAAAAAATATTCATACACTAATTTATTTGGCAACGTCTAGTCTAGATAGTCCTCTGGTCAAAAGATCGAGTAACGAGAAGTAGAGGTGGGTCGTGCTAGTTTATCCTTAAAAGCGTAGGAGCAAAATTTCGGGCCGATGTTTTTTAAATGCATTCATTTTTTTCGAATCCTGAGAAAACTAATAAATATTTTTGAAAAAATTAAACGCAGAATGAAACAATACATTATTACCGAGAGCTGAAAGTCCCTGAAAACTTCTATAATGTTTATTTTAATAAGTTATAGGGATGAAAAAAAGAAAAACAAAATTTAGTGTGATTTTTAATTTCAAATATCTCATTAAAAAAACTTTTTGTTTATTCTAAGGGACCTTCGGCCCTCGGTAATAATGTAATCTTTCATTCTGCATTTAAATTTTTCAAAAATATTTGTTAGTTTTCTCAGGATTCCAAAAAAATTTAAATTTTTTTGAATGCTAAAAAGCATTTAAAAATTTTAATTTTCATAAACAAGTAACTATGATTGTTTAAAAGTAGTTTCAAGTAAGATAGTACCTACATAAACAAACATAACGGCTATTATCGTTTATGTGTATATCTTTTGAAGTGAAAGAAACTACCTAATGATATATTTATTATAACTTGAAAAATAAACTAAACAATCATCATCATCATATAACGGGGGTCCTACGGCGATTGCCGCTTCCCGCATTTCAGCCTCCATCTTTTCCTATCTCCCCAATCTCCCTCTTCTAAGCCTCTAGATTGCATTGTTTTTGTAATTTCTCTTCTCCAGGAATTTGGTGGTCTTCCCCTTTTCCTTCTTTCTGGCGGAACATACATTAAGGCTTTCTTTGGCCACCGCTCCTCCTCCATTCTCATCACGTGACCATACCATTGTAATTGCCGTCCTTGTATTCTATCTGAAAGAGTATCTCTAATTCCTGTACGGTTTCGTATTTCCTCATTCTTTCCATTCTCGATACTCGACATGACCTTCTAAGATAATCCATTTCCACAACGTCTACTTTATCTTGTTCATTCTTTGTCATCGTCCAACATTCGGCACCATATGTGGTAATTGGTTCTACAATTGCTCTGTATACGCGAAGTTTGGTATACATCTTTATTTTATTAGACCACAGTAATGAATTCAGTATTCGGATGCATTTTTTCCCTTGGGTTATTCGGTTTTGTACATCTATCTTAACTCTGCCATCTGCTGATATGATGCTTCCTAGATATTTATACTGGTTGCAGCCTTTTATGACTGCGTTTTCAAGCCTCAGATCTGTGGTATTTCCTCCAATTTTTAAATATTCTGTTTTAAATATTCTGTTCTAAACTAAACAATACAAATAGTAAATCGGACTTACATTTACATTACACGTTATTATTAAATCGCGAATAGTCTAAATTGACATAAAAACATACGTTTTTCTACTTTACTTCTTGTTAACCGTATTCTTTTTTATTTAAAATTAAACCAGATTTTGAACATGTGTTCACATTTACAATACTTTATGAATATAGTGGTTAAGTTAGGATATACATGGCGATGGTTTTTCCACCGTTGTAATGGACTCTCGATGCAGGTGTACGTGTAGATGAGTCATCTCCAATTAATTGATCAAAAATACTCCATGGACTTAAGTCATATTTATTGGTTTCTTTTTCTTGTACTGGTTGATTTTCAATAGTACAATCTTCTTGTTCGTTAATTATAGAAGTAACCAGCTTCTTAACTTTTTGTTTTGTTCTGCACTTTAAATCGTGAATCCATAAATGTACATAATGACAATGTGCCACTCTGTTCTATCCCTCTAAATCTTTTTGCTAAACCCGATATTAGTAATTGTACTATGTCATATACTATGGATGTAAGTATGCCGTTTGCTAAAATTTTATTGCAAGATTCTTGCAGGCAGCGTACCATAACAATCACTGAACTAGCATTCAAGTATTTTTGGTCACTCATTGTACTTGTTATTTCTTTAAACGGCCGTAAAATTTGGGAAAGTTGAGAACAAATAATCCAGTGTTCTTTATTTAGATTAGTTTTAAGTCTAAGTCTGTATTATTTAATACCAATGTGGAACGGGTTGCCTCTTCTAACTCGGTCATTCTTTTTAACATGTAATAGGTGAAGTTCTACCTAGTTTCCACGTCTTGGATTGGCCGTTTGGGAACTGTGTTCTGTTGTAATTAATACTTTAAAAGCCTTTCTGAAGATAAGGTACTTTTTTGAAATGTGTTTTTTTGCAGAATTGTCGAAAAAAGGACTTTTTATTTTATCTATTTGTACACGACAGCATTTAAGTGCGTCCCCCACCAATAAATTTAATCATCATCATAAATCACAATCATCATAAAACAAAACATATTTAATAGCTTTGACCATATTTTAGGAATTATCAGTTACTGCAAAATTTACTTTTCGTTTTAGACCCTACTGATTAATAATTACAGTAATCGCTGTTTTCTGGATTATGGTTTCCAGAAAAATGGCAGCAGCCTAATAAAAAAGTTTTGAATACTAAATTTTCGGTTAAATATTGTCCTGTTAATGCGAAGTAACTCTCAGTTACTCCAGATGTCCAGAGGTCAGTAGTAATACAGATATTTTCTACTTCTTTAACAACTTGCGATCTAATAATTTGCTCACTTTTGACATAACATTCCTGAAGTAATGAACCTGACAAAGTTTTTCTTGTTGGCGGTTTATATCCAGGAATCCACCCTGCAAACTTTTTAAAAGCTGGTTCTTTAACTATGGAAAACGGATGAAACGAAAAGTTTAGTAAATCTTGAAAATCAATCAGTCCAAGAAAAAGAAACTGATAAAGATGACTTAAGTCCATGGCGTATTTTTGATGAATTAATTGGACATGACTCATCTAAACATACACCTGTATCGAGAGGTATAAAAGAAGTCGACATGTAATTGTCTGATGATATATTACCCACAAACAATTTCGAACGGAGATTGGAACTGTCCATTACCGTGGTGAAAAAACCATCGCCATGTATATCGTAACTTAACTACTATATTCATAAAATGTTGTAGTATTGTAACAAAATCTTTTCCTTGTGAATACATGTTTAACATCTGGTATAATTTTAAATAAAAGAAGAACGCGATTAACAAGAAAAGTGGAAAAACTTATGTTTTTAAATGTCAATTTAGACGATTCGCGATTTAATAATGTGTAATGTAAATGTAACTATTTAAGTACCATTTGTATTATTTAATTTATTTTTCAAGTTACAATAAATATATCCTTCGTTAGGTTCTTTTATTTCAATACTTATACACATAAACGATAATAGCTAATATGTTTGTGTACTCGCTAATTTGAATACTGGTAAACAATCAACTAGTTACAGTTTACGAAAAACGGTTCCGATAAAAATTAAAAAAACGAGAAGACCCACCTCTAGTTTTTTAGGTATATTAGGATCGGAACCAGAGAATATCTGATCGGAACTAATCGTCTCACTAATGGGCAATGGCCAATGAGTGTTAAAAGGATTTTAGGAGGGGAGACGAAGGGGAAATATGATTGTTATCTTTGTCTAATTCGTTGAAAATATGATTTTATATCTGCGTTAGATATCCTGTTAAATTTTACCATACCGACCTTAAAATTTTACCTACACTGTATATATATATATATATATATATATATATAATATATATATATATATATATATATATATATATTCGCTGAGGGTTATTTCTTGGGCGTTGTTTCATTTTGTGCTAAAGTGTCTCTATCGGATTAAAATCCGGGCTGCTAGAAGGATGTGACAAATCTTTAATGTCACACACATATATATATATATATATATATATATATATATATATATATATATATATATATATATATATATATATCCGAGATTTTATCTTTCAGCAGGACAGAGCTTCATGCCACATTTCTAAATCTACCAAAAAATAGTTAGAATAACATGACATTAAAGATTTGTCATACCCTTCTAGCAGCCCGGATCTTAATCCGATAGAGACACTTTGGCACAAAATGAAACAACGCCTAAGAAATAACCCTCAGCGTACTTTGCCACAACTACGTGCCAAATTACAAGAAATATGAGATAGTTTCACCCCTGAATTCTGTAAAGACCTAGTTGATACAATCCCTAATAGAGTTCAGGCTGTTATTTAAGCTAAGGGCGACGATACGCCCTATTAATTTTCATTTTAATTTGTTAATATTCTCTTGTTCCAATATTTAGTTGTCAGCATTTTTTGGCTATCAAACTATTAATTAAATAGTAATTAACATAAAATACAAATATACTTAAACTGTAAAAATAATTCCATATATCATAAAAAATGTTGTTAATTTCATATTTACAATTAAAAATTTTTTAAAATACCTACATGAATTTAAAATACAAATTTATCAAAAGCAGTTTTTAAATATCTTTATCAAAGAGTGTTACGAAAAATATTTTTTTTTACTAATTTCTCTGATTTAATTTAGTTTTAATAAAATATTGTAGCAAACCTATTTTTTCTTTTAAACGTCCTAGATCATTAATAACTTTTGTAGATGCTTTAAAGAACACTGAAAACATCGTTGTTTGTAGAAAAACACATTAAATAAATACTTTATTACAAAATAAATGCAAATATATCTCAACAAGATCAACAAACACTAATGTAGCCGCATGTGACTCATAACGGCGAACTTACTACTAAACCACTTGCCGCAAACTTCACAGGCACACGTCAAAGGCTCCTCGATGTTGTGCACGGTCTTGCGGTGGCCTTTCAGCGACACCTTTTGGCGAAAACTTTGACCGCAAATGTTACACGTAAACGGCATGTCTTGCGTGTGCTGTCGCTCGTGCGTGCGTAGCGCAAACTTCGAAGAGAACTTCCTTTGGCATTGTTCGCATTCGAAGGGACGAAGTTTTTGGTGGGTCATCTTTTTGTGCTTGTTCAGATTGTAGAAGGTGAGGAAGCTTTTGCCGCAGACGTCGCATATGTGTGGTCTTTCACCTACATGGGAAAAACCAGAAAATACTAAGTTATACACAAAAATACGAGGAATACACTTACCAGTGTGTTCTCTTTTGACATGCAACAACAGAGCATATGACTTCTTGAAAGATTTATCACAGAACTCGCAGATATAGTTCCTAGTTGAATGGGTGTAGTGAATATGTCCCTTCAAAGAGATCGTATTTTTGTATTTTCCTAAACATATTGGACATTCCACTTCGTTTTCCAAATGGCTCTTCCGATGGGCAGGAAAATTTGAAGGAGTAATGTAAACGCCACAAATGTCACATTGCTTTTTATTGTGGTGGCTGTATGGGCGGTACGCCTGCTTTCATTGGAAAACGTCTTCTTACAGTGATAACAGTGATATATGCCGGGTTTTTCTTCTTTGTCAACTTTGGCATGGTGGGCACTGAAAGATGAGAGTGTTAAGTGTATAGAATAACCTATTTTTAAGCTTACAGTGTAATTTTGAAAAGGAAACCAACCTGAGGTTGTAAATATATGATACATACTACTCTAAAACAGTTTCACAAGCAAATTCTATGGTCTATTCGCTCAGCTCAGGAATATTTTGACAGATTCATTGTCAAAAACAACAATAAAAATCCTACCTCTCAGTATTAATAGCTCAAATAAACTTACTGTTGCAGACTTCTTTCGTTTTAAAACTGGAGTTTTTCTGTGAACAGTACCAGCTCTGTTGAAAGAAGTAAGTGAGCTTAAAGAGAGTATAAATAAAATTCTACCCAAGGAAAATGTCGCATCTGTTGCACCAGAAATGGAGGATATTATTTCCGAAATAGACGAAACGAGACCCATTAAGGTAGTATTAAATACATCTGAAGATGCTAAAACTATTGTCAAAAATAAAAGATTAATTAGAGTGCCGGATGTCAGAATTTCCCTAGATCAAACAAAAGCCCAGCAAGAGTATTTCAAGAAATTAAAGTTAGATGTTATGGTTAATGAAAGCGACAACTCTAAAACAATCAAATTCATTACTAATAAGAACTTGTTAAACAAAATGGAATAATTTTTAAAACACTACAGTTGGTGTCCGGTGTGAGATTAAATTCAGCAGTGACTTCTGAACTTTTGAAAAGTATTGTTCGTCAGGAACATCCACGTAGTTCAAAAGTGATCTTTGTACAAAAGAACATTTAAGAAAAAGTACGTGGGTGTCTGACCAAAGATGCTGCTAGTAGAACTTTCAGTAAAGCAGTTGCGTTAGCAACTAGAAGAACGCGATGAAGACTGCAGCGGGTCCAAAAAGATACTCCAAGAACGACTGAAGACTGTTCTCAACAATAATGGAGACGACCCAGAGACATTTCAGTTTCAATCAGCAGAAGAAGCCGTTTTAACTAAAATAATTTATGGAAAATTCGAGAACATTTCCAAAAGATTCGATGAAACGTCTCAAATGATTGAAGAAACTTAAAAAAAATTATAATAAATTTGAAAACGTCTCGCAAATGATTGACGAATCTTCTCGAAAGAATGATGAAAGATTCGATGAAACGTCCCAAATTATTAAAGAAATAGCTAGACAAAATGACGAGAAATTCGACAATGTATCTAGAAGATTCGACGAGACTTCTCAAATAATTAAAGAAATGTGTATTCAGAACAATGAGAAATTTGAAGAAGTCTCTAAAACATTCGCTTTTAACACATTTGAATTTGTGAGAAGTACAATTAATATGTTCAACATTTGTGAGCAATATTTTCTGCAAAATTGCTGAATTACTAAATTTATCTGAACTTATCTAACTACACACCTCGCGCAAATAAGTCTCTGTCACTCGTGCCGGTGACAATTAAAATTGCCAAATTAAAAAAAAAACTGTGGAATATATTTGCATTCCCGAATGTTCAAAACATGACATTCGTTACATCACTAATATATATATATATATATATATATATATATATATATATATATATACAGATTGAACGAAATAAATTCGGAACATGTAGGTGGTTGGCCAACAAAAGGTTGTCAAATAATTATATTATAAAAATCCAATACTTCAGCGGGCTGCTGGATTCTGAACTAATTCAAGAGCTCATTCATAGGTACTCAAACCACCACTCACGGTACAGCGGTGTCGTTCGACATAATCGGACAGAGGCGTTGTTCAATTTGTTGGTATATCTGGTGCGCCCACACACCATACTGCGCCGCAGTATTTGTTCGTTCCCGACCATGTCAAATCAAACAATCATTTTAGCATCTCTTACTTTGTGTATAACTAAGCGTAAAAAGAAACCTAAAATAAAACGTAGATTCTGGTGCAAATAATCCAAGATTTTGGTGCAAAATAAATCTCGTCTGTCCCTGCACCCGATTTACTGGACTGCACTGCTAATTTTAATTCTCTTTTATAGGATGTTCGAAAATTGTTATTTTTTTTTTCTTACATACTCTTCATTCGCATCTTTGTTTACTTCTTGGAACTTTAAAACTAGAATGTCCACTGCCTGTTTTCGGGCGTTTTTATCGTGATACATTTTACCTTTTATTCGCTATAAGCATTCTTGTTTTTTATATAATTTAAAAAACTCTCTTAAAAAATTCACGCTAAATCAAGCCATTTCGACTTTCTATAATATGATCAAAGCAAGTGTGCAGTTAAAAACGAAGTTGAACAACGCCGCTGTATCGTGAGTGGCCGCCTTTAGGCAAGCCCCTCTTTTGTTTATCGGAGATGGAGATTTTGAGCGGTGTTGCCAATATCATTCCACTAGATGTTTCTAAAATAACTACAAACTTCTGAAATAACTACAAACCATTAAGTTTATTTTTTAAATTAGTCTGTTGTAGTAGATTGGTAAATACAATGAAAAATATAGCAAATATCCAATTTATTTAAAGATACGAAGAAGATATAACTCTCAAAAAGATCCGCAAATCGGATTATTACACAGCGATTGGCAACATTGACTTTGAGCTACGCTCTAGACTATGGTGCGTTCTAAAAGGAGAAGGATAGTTGAACGATATTTTATACAATGTCCAACACCGGGTATGGATTTATTTTTGCCCAAGTTTTATATTGGTCCACTATTTCAAATGCAGTTCAAACAGACATCTATTAAATTGTATGATCAGTTTTAAATTCTTTCAATCTGTTTATGTATTGTAAATACTAATTTATAAACAACAATAAAATTTCAAAAATAAGCCATTGTTTTAATGTAGTTTTATTTTGTTAATAAACTATATAAGAATGTTTTTTTGTTTACATATTGGCTATGAGCATGTAAGCTTGGTTGCTTAATAATAATTACTAAATTTACTAAACAGTTGGCACTGTGATAGTGAATCACATTTACTAATTTTCCCTTCACTTTATTAGAAACAATACAAATCTCCTTTTCAACCCCTATCAGTTGGCAACTGTATTTGTCCTGTCCCTAGAGAACAGAATATATATTAAATTCAGTTTAGTATGTCTATCCCCTACATAAATCTGTTTTCACTAACTTTATAAAACAAAAACTACATTTTAAATGAAGATAACACATAATATAACAAGTACACATGATATAATATCCAACAGAACTTACCTCTTAAAATGTATAATATACAAAGGCTTATAAAAGAACGATCCATTGCAAATTTTGCATGTCCAACTCTTATTAGCTGGATAATCTATATGTGCCTGTGCTAAATGCTCCCTATATGTATGTATATTGGCACAATTCATGTTACATTCATCACACTTAATGGTAGAAAAATAATGGAATTGCACATGGTCCAGCATATCCTTATCTAGAAACTCTTGACCACAGATCTTGCAAGGAACTTTTTCACTGTCATCAGTGTTGGCTTCTGCTAAGAAATTAGAAAAAAGAACCGGTTCTTCAGTCTCAGTCTCTGTTACAAATACATTCTCTACTGAATTATCTTCGTCAGATTTGAGTTCAGTTTTTACTGTTTCATATTGGACAGCAATCTTCAAATCTTCTGTTTCAAGTTCAGATACAGTTGATTTTGGAGAATTTCCTTAAAAGTGTAAAAATTAGTATATTCTCTAATATCTTACGATGTTTTTATAAAATAATACAATATATAATATAATAATTATAATGTAATATAATACTACTCAACAATCCAACTTATATTGATTAAGAAAAGGACTTACAGGAATCAAATATACCTACTGCTCAAAGGAGTGGATGGTTCAGTACTAGAGCGTCCTTCATAATCGTGATCCAGGATACATTCCTCCACTGACTGAATTTTTTCTTCTACTTCTACTGCATTATCAACTATTCTAGTTTTTATGTCCAGTTCATCCATATTAATTTCCTCTAACATATGTAACTTTCTGTCAGCTTCTAGAATGTTTTGCTGAATTTGGAAAGCAAATTTTAAATTGAAACAGCATTTGACACATGCAATTGTTGGAAATGGCTCGTCTTCGTCGATCTATAAAATAATATTTTCCAATTTTATCACAATTAAATCTGGTATAAATGGTAGGTTTTAAGGATTTTTTTAAACATTTAAAAACGATGTCTAGTATCTATAGGCAAATAAAATAAAATATTTATGCAAATTAGTAGCTGACATGCATAAAAATCGCGATTTTTTTTTTAAATCCTGCCCTCAACCTATTTTTGGCATTACCTTTATTGCTGTCAGAGCTTCTAAAAATACTGTATTATCGTCATTAAGTAATGAATGCGATATAACAGTTTCCGACAAACACAGGCGACAGAATTTCTTTTTGTTAATTTCCAGTCTATCCATTTTTGTTTGAAATCAAAAATTAAATTATTTAATTTTCGTTTATTTTCATGACACTTCGATGACTGACAAGTGACAGAACACCTACAAGGAAAATGGGATGTTCCACTTTATAAATGTGGAAATATAAACATAAAGTCTGTTGTTCGGAAGTTATTTTCTTGTGACATTTTAATATTATTTACTTTCTTTAATAGAAATTAACGACAATTTTAGTTGAAAATAAACGTATTTTTTATTAAATCTGGTTTTTCTTAAATGATTTTGATAAATTAAATATAGAATATTGCACAGTATAAATAAATAACAACCCACAAGCAAAAATTTTCTAAAAAATAAAAATAAAAAGAAGATAAATACAAAATTTATATCTTCACAAATTTGAACATAGCCTAAATCTTTGTTCCTGTTGAACGTTTAGTAAGTGACATTTATATTGACATTCACATCACACTTCATTTCATTGTTCATTTCATTCTTATCCAAGGCTGCCAGGTCTAGGGATTTATCCCGAATCTAGGGATATTTCAGTATAAAAGGGACAAAGGGATTTTTTTGATATTTAGTGTAAAATCTAGGGATTTTTGACCGGCTCAAATATTTACCCACGTAGGCCTATTATAATAACATTTTCTTTAATTCAGGTATAAAACCACTTCGTATTAACAGTATTAAATACACGATCTTTCATTACAACTAATTAAACTAACAGTAAACTACTTAAAGATTCTATTATCAGATGTCGCTAACTGTCCACGTTCTTGGAATCTTTATTTTATACTACCAAATAGATTTCTGTCAAAAGTAGATTCCTATATATTTTCAGAAAGAAGCAAATTCTGGAGCTGGAATTAGGGGATTTACAAAAGTCCCAGCTTTTATAAAATAAATAATTAGAGGATTTACAGTAGGAATCAGGTGATTTACAGGATTCGTGAAAATCAATAAATAAAATTCTATGCTTCACCGTTTCATTTCTCTTCAAGTTGTATTTTGTATTAATTTTATTAAGTAAATATGTAAAGAATACGTACGTTATTCCGTTTTTGTTAAATTTATTCAAATGATGGCTATTGTACTGTTTATGAAATAAAGGTATAAAACAACAATTTTTTATATCAATGTTATTATATTAGGCAACTATCAATACATCCCATAATTTTATTCAGAAATAGGCAACCATATATACATTTATTCCAATCTAGGGATTTCGAGGGATATTTAAATGTTCAATTTAGGGAGGACAAAAATTTTCACCTGGCAACCCTGTTCTTATCCATTCATCATCTTGTATTTACATGGAAGTGGGTGAGATTGTATTTTAAATTGTTAAATACCTTAATTTATATTTATTGCTTCAGAGAATTTTATGTTTGTTAGTCGCAACTTCCGATAAAATGTCATCGCCTATAGAAAAAGATAAGGAAGAAGGGGAAATCGTTGATGATGATTATGAGGAGATTTCAGACAACTCGATCTCGTTTCCATTAAATGAATCTGGTAAGTCTCATCCTTCTAAAGAACGAATGTCTGTGATATGTTTGAGCAGTCTCAGCGAGTTTGAGGAAGAGGAGTATCAAAGGAGAGTTGGGAAACTAATGAAAAAGGGTCGGAAAATGAAGCATCATGGTCACCATAGGAGAAAGAAAAAGTACATTGGAAAAACTCACAAGAGTAGAAAGTGGAAAAAAGTGCTTAAACATATAGAATCCAGCTCTGATGATGAGTCTATAAATTGTAGTCTTGTTAGGAAACAACTTAAAGCTGCTATTAGGGTTGAGTCACCATCGGTTGATTCCACAGTTAGGACTGTAGGAAATCAAGTGAATTGTTTGAAGAATAGATTAAGGGCCATGACAAAACTAAATGATGATGGTGTCGTGGAACAACAATGTGATATTATTAAGTCTGACATTGAGAACAAAGCAGATGATCCGATTGCAGATTCTGGAGATGCTTTAGAACAAACTGATATTGAATTGACTCAGTTACGTTTAGAAGCATTAAGAACAGCTGTATTAAATAAATTTGAGCATAGGAAAAAGAGGAAACATGAGGAATTGCAGAAAAATCAGGAATTACCAAATATTGACAACTTAGAAACCAACAAGGAGAATAGCATACAAGAAAATGGGAATATTAATCAGACATGTACAGATAAACCGAATTTACAACCCACATCTCCTGATGAAGAAGACGAAGATGTTTTAAGGGCAATATTGCTAGCATCTATGTCAAAGAAAATGCCTAAATTTGCTGAGTCCAAAAGTCCTGAAGAACCTGAAGTAGAAAAGGTAAAGTTGAATCAACCTGTTATAAAACCATTTATTATACAAGCAAAAAAACCTGTGCCATTAAGACAACATCAAATCAAACCAATTATTATAAATATTGGTAGCGATACAGAATCAGAAGATGAACAAAATACTAGGACCATTATTAATGCAAAAACTACAGAGCTTCCTGTAAATGGATATCAAGTAGGCAAAGAAATAGAAAGTACAGTGGAAAATTTCTTAAAAGAACAAAGAGCAAAGATTGAGGAGGTTCAGGCTGTTACTAAACAAGTGGCTCCCCTAAAAATCAAACTGTTGAGATAACTACACCAAAATCCAAGACTCAACCCAAAATGAATGAATCTGTGATACTAGAAAAGTCTTCTGTTAAATTACTTACCAAAGAAAAACAATTAGAATATCAGAAACTTCTACAAAGGTTAAAAATGGCTCAAAAGAAGCCAAAAATGAGACGGGTTTCGGTTAAAGGGACTGAAGAGGGCAACAGCCCAAGGAAAAATGTAAAGACTAAGTTAATCAATCCTCCAAAACTACCAGTAGTGAATAAACCTTTTAGTGTGCAGCAGGATGCTGGGAATTTACATCTCATTTTGAAGCAAATGCAGAAGGAACATAATGGAAGGTATTTGTTTGTTTTATTTTATTTTCCTGGTGTTATTTTTTCAATTGAATTGATTTGGAAATTCAATGAAGTATTTACTAAATATATACAATATTAAACAAAAAATGTAACTAAAGTTTATTTAGATTTAGGACATAAAATTATTGTTTATTTATGCTCTATACTTTTTTTAATATATCTAGGTATTAAATTTTTTATATATAGCCAGGTACACACATGCCAGTAAATTGGAAAAATAGCTGGCATAGGCCAGTAACTGGCAAGCACAAAACACATTTGTAATTGGCATGTAGTAGCTAGTAATTGGCATGCCAGTAGCTCACTTGCCTATACTGGCAAGGCAAACAAGCAGGGTAGATTTTTACACATGCCAGTGCTAGTAAACAATCAAGTGGTTTTCATCTGAAACTAAAGTACTTGATGTTTAATTGAAAGTTTTTCGAGTTTTCAACAAAATGTTGAAATCAACAAAAGCGAATGAATTAAACAAGCAAATATTGATCATGACCACGGATATTTTTAGAAATTTAATAATTAATCAAATGTGGAGTTCAAAAATAAAGAAAAATTTGGGTGAGAAATTGGATTAGTATGCGAGAAAATCTTGGAGCAAGTGCTTGTTTACTTAGAGAGATGAACTGCTTGGAAAAATTAAGAGCAATATTCAAAAAAATACCCACATGCGAGATGCGATCCCAGCAAGGACTAAATTGGAAATAACTTTTGAATTTTTGTGTAAGCACTGTCACGGGCTATTTTACTTTTATATAGAGTTGATTTGAAATTTCGAAGACACTCCAATTCTCTATATATAGCAATAAATTTGATGGTTTTTACATCACCCTAACAAAATTTTGTTTAAATTAACATGTTTAAAAATAAAACAATTAATTTTTATCACCAACACAACAAATCTGGCAATTCTCTGTTAGCTATCGATATGCCCATAGCATTAGTGGGACACTCCCCAAGCATGCGCCTTGTATCTCACAGGATGCTACTAGCAAGAAAAATCAAATTCTTTTCGATTAGCTAGCATGCCAGGAACTAGCATGCCAGTTAACATACACACTTGCCAGTTTGGGGACAGTATCTGGTGGTTGCTAGGTACTGGTATGCCATTGTGCTAGTAAGAGGCATGTGTATCTCCTGCTCATTTGCTCTAATGCCTGAAATAATATGAAACACAATGTTTGTTTTTTACAGGTTCTGAACATTCTTTATTTGTCATAGTTTTGAGATTCTTTCTATCACATTTTATCCATTAAAATTGCTTTTATTACCTTCTTTTTGTTCACACTTGTTTACAGAACCTTTGAATAGTTCTATTGACATCTTGGACTCTGTGGAGTGGACAGAGTATAGCGGTTTCCTATTGACTTCTGTATTCTTATGCGGTTTGCCATTCATTTGAGTTATACACATTTGGGGCTGATTTCTCAACTCCAAGGCAAAATAGTGCTATATCACTTATCAACTCATCTGCCTGAAGCCATTGGTCAGTAAGTTAGGATGCTTCTTTTATCAAGATCTATTAGCATTTTATGTTCTCCAGTTAAAAGAGTATTAAATTATTAAAAACCACATAAATCACAAAGGTAGTCAAATACATTCCTCAAAACGAATTTCCAGATCAATTTTTTTAAATAATGAATGATTTGTAAAATTATGTTAGACTATTTTGCTCTTGAATTTGTTAATGATGAAATTTAATGATAATCACCACAATATAATACTATCCACCTTTCACTCATCCCAAAAATAAAATCCTAAACAACACTCGTGTTGTTTTTGGACACCCTGTAAATACACACCTGGCCCAAAGATTGCAGATTGAGGAAAAATATGTTGTTCTCACTCCCATCATCAAGAAAATAAACGAAGCAACGACGGAGAGGAGGAAATACGACCAAGAAGTGAAGCGGTTGTTGGGAGCATTGGCGGACGCAAAAAGGAAATTGCATAACTCTCACCAGACGTTTTCCATGTACGTTAAAGAGTTAACCAAGAGGAAGGAAGAGATTGATAAGAGGTTAGTTTGAGTATCTTCAAGGTACAGTATGGTTTTTATATCTATTTAGGTTAATGTAGTTGTACAGTGTTGTAGTCAAGATGGTAACAGTTGCAGCAATGACAAAAAA